GGCGCCGGGCGCGAGCGGCGCATCCGAGCGGGCCCCGCGTAGCGCCCGCGGGCGTCTGCGTGTGCGGCAGCCGCGCGTGTTCGCGGCCGGCCACGCTGCCGGGGCCGCAAGCGCTGSTCTTTGCGACAGCCCAAACGCCGTTTGTTCCTGTTGTTACTGGCGCTGCTGGGGCCGTAAGCGCTTTCCTTTGCGGGAGTAGCTGCGGCASCGGAGGGGGCGTTGGTGCGGGAGCCGTTGGAGCCCCGCGCGGGGCAGTTCCCCGTCGGGCCGCACCGCGTTGGTGCCGTTCGGGGCCCCGTCGCTCTTGGCACTGGGATGCGGCWGCTGCTGGGGACAGGTACACGCTGCCCGCGTCCCGCTGGAAGGCGTGCGGGGGCTTCAGGTAAACGATGGGAGCGTGAACTCCTTGGAAGTCTGCAGCCCTGACACTACCAGAGTGGTTCCAAAGGATTCCGCCCTGGGAAGTCAGAGCTGATAAAGTCATGGCTCCCAAAGGAAAGGGAGGAGCCGAAAGAGGGGTTTGCATCATGTGCACTGCCTAATGTGGCATCGGGGTGCTTAAAAGGGTTTAAATAATCAAATCYGGCCTCCTCCTCCTCGAAAGGAGTGTGTCTCCCTGCTTCACAGATCCCGGGATGKCCGAGGTTGGAAGGGAGCCCTGGAGACCGTCCAGTCCAACCCCAGTGCAGTCCTGTGGATTCCCCCTTCCTTGACCCCATGGACCAAGCAGCGCCTGGAGCTTAGTGCTGAGCACCGCGTTAGTGCACAGCCGCTGGCTCAGCTTCCTCTCAGAGGAGTCTGGTTTGCCCGCGCTGAGGCCGTTCTGCGCTACGAACCAAAGCACGGCCAGGGAGGACGACGGGAGGGTTCCCTTTAGGCAGATCCCTGATGTCRATTCGGACACTAACGTGGGAGCGCCTTACATCTGATAGGCAGCTGCATTAACACGTCGACATCAGAAAAGCCATTGACGTGACCTTGATRTTACACATACACCCCTGGGCTGCGTGTGAAATACGTTCCATTCCTCCAGGTTTCTGCTTTCTGATAGTGCTCTCCGCTTGCCTGCAAGCTGGAGTCAACCTGGGACCAACCCACCCCTTGCAGGAAGAGGCCCCGGGAATGAAACACCCCAGGAATGAAAGACTCACCAACTATGAAAGAAAGGCTAATTCTATACCCACTTAGTGTGACTACAGTTTAGCAAGAGCATATGGACAGAGAGACAGGTTTGTTTGTTTGTTTGTTTTTTGTTTGGGTTTTTTTTTTTTTTTTTGAGACAATCCTCAATTACATTTGAGAAAAACAGATGAAGACACAGCTGCCCCTAGGAAAAACAGTAGAGTGCACAAAGACGTGGATAAGAAAAGTGTAGGCAGTGAGATAATAAGGCATGGGCAGAGTCCAAAAGCAAAGAGAGGCTGGGCTGAGATAGGAAGCGGTTAATAACTGCAGGTGAAGCAACTTTGTCTTATTAATATTTGTGGCATAATCTGGCTGTACATCCATGACACGAGTTTACGGTGCCAGTTCAGCTTGTCTTACTGGTTTAGGGCAGGGAGACTCAAAGACATGCCATGTAAGAATGGCCTCACAGCAGCATCCCTTCCTCCGTGTGGAGAGCAAGAACAGGCACCACAGGGAATGCACTCAGTCCCACTGCTGCCTGCAGTGACAAGACACAAGGGGAAATAGCCACTCTTTTTCCCCTCCTTTCTTTCTCTTCTCATGGAAGGACAGTGTCTTCTACCTGGCTCCCTTCAGGTACTCCAAGGCTCTTGCAAGGCAGGACTATGACTCTGCACAGCACTAAGCAGCTCCAACATTAAGCAATCTTTGACTGGCTGAAAATGTGACAGTACCATTTGCACTGGTCTGAACACAGTCCATCTCCCATCTCTCCATCACCCTTTGTGTGATGTGCTAAGGACAGAGTGCAAAGTGTGGCTGTCCCCTCACCAGAAAGAAGAGACCTTGCAGGGTGAGGCTTCCTGGGTCTGAATCCCAGAGCAAAAGAACAAAGAGCAGAAGCCAGATATTAATATATAAATTTCAGTGCTCAGAAACCTACTCTAGCTGACCTTCYATAAGCACAGGTTGGAGCTTTGGTTGGAGCAGGTGATTTCCAGAGGTTCCTTTGAACTCAAACTGTCCTGTGATTCTGTAAAGTCAGCCCAATAGTAATGGAATGGATCCTTGCATGCAAAGTGAAAATATTTTGGCAGTGAGAACTGAAATATCAAACAGCCTCAGTAACTCTTGGAGGGGAGAGACAACGAGACTTTAGAGCTTCAGAAAAGGCTTTTCTGGGCCCTTAATCCTTCCACCATTGCCAGTCTGAAGGTAGCTGGTACTCTGACGAAATCCCTGAGCCTGATGGAGACCACTGATAGAATGGAGGTCTGCCCAGCCATTTCCTCATCCTATAAACTCATTCTACTTTTCCAATTGCAGAGCTTTACATTTGCCTTATTAAATTGTGTTCTATTCTTTCAGGCCATTTCTCCCACTCAGGAAGYCCATTAAATTTCCTTTCCTAAATTTCCTAAATTAGTTTTCCTTTCAAAATTCAATGCAGCCCTTCACAGGCTAGTCTTACCTGAAAATTCAATAGGAACTTCCTAATCCACTGTAAAGATCACTGAAAAAATCTACTAAGTACTACCACTCTCAGGACAGATCTGTGCAGAACTTTTTATTGATACACTTCTCCTCTTAGACAATGTGTCATTGAAAACCCATATTAGATTAAGGTTTACTAATTAGCATCAGGCTGTCATTACAGTATTTTTCAGTAGATCTATTTATCTATTTTCCAGTGTTTCCTAGTTTGCTATAAGACCATCAGATGAAACAGAATCAAAATCCTTACTGAAGTCAAGATACATGACATCTAATGCTACTTCCTTTTCCACAGGCCTTTTACTTCCCCGTGAAAGATTGGTTTGACATATTTTCTTTGTTTTGTTTGTTTTGTTTTGGTAAATCTGAGTTGCCTATTTGCTGTTGATTTGTGTAAAACTGACTGGCTAGTCAGTAATTCCTCAGATACTTGCTTTTACCAAAAAAAAAAAAAAAAAAAAAAAAAAAAAAAAAAAAAAGTCGGTATGTTTGCCCTTTTCCAGTCTCCTGAACCTCTCTGTTCTCTGCAGGTTCTCAAAGACAAGGAGATTGCTTCAGCTAGTGTTCAGCCATTACAGGATGAATTTCACCTGGCCACCTCGTCTGAAAGCATTGAAATTATCTTAAGGACTTGGAGACCTAATATTTTCATACTTCAGAATGACATTTTACCCATWTCCCATTAGTTCTAGTCACAGTGAAGACAAGTGACAAACACTTTGTGACTTCTTGGTATCGTGGGTAGGCAGTCTTTTCCTTTTCATCGAAGAGAAGTCGCATCCTTTTACTGTCTTCGCCTTGGTGCCTATGCATTGCTGCAATGGATTGCTACTCTTGATGTCTCTGGCTTATTATAGCTTGTTTTGTGCCCTGGCAGCTGCAACCATGCTGGTATTAGCTCTATCATTACTAGCACTGATAGGAAATTAGAAATAAGAACCTCTTAATGAAACCCTTGCAATAAAGAGCTCYACCACCCTCAATATGGTTGTAATGGAGGACTAAAAAGTCCTAGATCATTTCCCTGCCCTGATCCCATGGTCAAGCTTAACTGTGTCCTGCTTCAGAAGTATTTGGATGCGCTTAACTCCCAACAACAGAGACTTTCCCAGGATGTCTCTTAACATTAACAAGTTTTCCTAAGCTATATTAGTTACCTGAGTCACACTGCCATATTGCAATTTAAGCACATTTATTCCCCCTTTTTTTCCCCACCACATATACAATAATTATTCCTTTTCTCTTAGGACTATCCAGGTACCTACGCGAGGTCAGTTGCCACGTCTCCCTTGATCCTCCCATCTTTAGACTAARCTTCACTTTGGTTCCAGACCTCCTGCTTAGATGGACTCCTAGTTAATCCTACTTAGATCCTCCTGCTCAGACTAGACTACCTCCCCAACCCTCCCCAGTGTTTGCCTGCTTCGTGCAGAGTGGCACGCAAGCCGGACCCTCTGTTCATGTCAACATTCAACAAGTACAAAGTGGGGCTGGAAGCTGATTTCATCTTACAGACCCTCTTTCCGCCTGTGCTTACTGATGCCACGTGTGCCTTTTGGGCCAGAAAACTATGTTGCTGATGTATGTGCTGCTTTTTTTGACAGTGGAGATGGTATTTTGTGACTTATGGCATCACATGAACCTTTACGTGGTGCTGGCTGCAGCAGCCTGAGGGCCTTTGGGTGCCGAATTTTGTCACTTACGGCATCACACGAACCTTTACATGGTGCTTTTTGAAGCAGCCTGAGGGCCTTTGGGTGCCGAATTTTGTCACTTATGGCGTCACACGATGCTCTTTGAAGCAGCCTGAGGGCCTCTGGGTGCCCAATACTCGCCCTTTGTGGCACCCTGAACCCTTCAAAACCCAAACTGTGGGTCTGGTTTGCCCCACTTTCTCTCGAGCACCTTGAGCTGAGGTCACATGGAGCCTTCGGGGAGGCACTCGGGTGCCGCCACGGAGCGGCCGGCGGCCCCGCGGCCTGGCCCGGGGAGGCGGGAGGCGCCGCCGCCA